ACAACCAATTGAATCTAAACCTAAAGCTAAACCAAATCTATCATATGATTGGCTACTTAACTTTCCAATTACTCAAGAAATGAAATCAAACAAAAAACTTCAAACCAAATTTTCTCACTATCTCTTTGAATTTCTTAAAAATTATCTTTACAACTTCTTTCCTGGAAGAGAAATTAAACCAGAAAAAGAAAACCAACCAACTTATAAAGCTTTCTTTAAATATCTTCTTCGTTCAATGGCTGGCTTGTGTCCTAAGTTTTTAATAGATCTAATTCATGAATATAATCCAAACATTAGTTCAGATACAACTATTTCTTTTGACTATTTTGAAACAACACTCCATATAATTATCTTACAATTTACTACAGTTCTTTTCACCAAACTTAACTACAAAGAAATCTTTGCTTCATCTGACAAAACACAAAACCAACTTTATCTCTGTTTAAACCTTGCATGACTACATCTCTATCTTTCAAACAAATATTAATCTATAAACTACAGAAAATTTGAAGAAGACTTTGATTTTAGACCTAAATATCCCAAAATTGAATTATCTATTACAAGCACAGATAAAGGCAAACCATATTTTGAAATTAAATCAGACTCAAAATTCAATATTCAACTTCTATTTAATATTCCTGAAACTCTTTTTCTACAAACCTTCCGTACCCTACCCTTAACAAATTCACTAAATATTTACAAAGAATGGTTCAATAAATTCTTTCCAGCCTACTCACGCCAATTTAATACTCCACCTGATGAAAAAGAAACTTATCTTCTTCTTAAAAACAAAATACGCCGACAATTCATTATTCAATTATGCAAATCTTTACTATCTAACTTTGAATTCCAAGAACCATATAAACCACTACAATGTCGACACGAAGCTACCAAAGCTACAAATTATTATATGCTAACTTGCAATAATAAAGATTGTGAAAATCTAACAGAAAAATTCTTTCATAAAAGAGACCAACTATACAAAGATATACTTGATAAATTTTATACAATATACCCAAAAAAAGATTCAGAAATACTTCAAGAACCTACTCTTGATCTATCTATCTTTCATATCGATGGAACTTATGAAGCTACCCTCAAAACAACCATACCTACTAAACTACTTGAAGACTTAGCAAAGACAGCTGAAGAAGCAGTCTGTAAACAAAACAATATTACTACAAGTCCAAACCATCGTAGCGTCTATTTTTACAAATATCTTGCTCTTTATTATCAAATAGCTCTAGAAAACCACAATATACCTAACAACTCTAAACAATTAGCAATAACTCAAGCTATTTATACTGTTGTTGATACCCACTTTCTAGCTAGAATTATAACCTATTTTGACTGTATTCAAAAACAAACTTATACCTTCTCTCAAACTATTAAGTACTACAAAGAATTTGCTTATCTGGAGGCAGAAAAAATACTAAAAGAAAATTCAATCTTAACTTCCAACCTATACAAACTACTGATCTAGAATTTTTATTTTTAGACTATTCGTTTCTCTAACTTTGTCTTTTACAAACAATATAAATGCAGCCACCACCTTATTAAAAGATACACTCTCTGTAGTTAATAAGGAGAATGATGTAAGTAGGCAGGTGGATAAGCCTATTTATGTAGAGGTCCAAAATAATGTCAGTCAGACCCAATGCACAGGGCAGACTTTGGATACCTGTACAGCTATGAGAGCTGAGCCTAAAATGGTGAGTGATCTTGTAAAAGACAAAAATCTCTTCTCAGACAATATTATATTACATCCTTCTGAGGAAACTTGCTATAACAAATTTCTTAAAAAACATAACCTCCCATTACTTAATTCTAATCAAACTCTTAAATCCTTTTTACATCATCTCCTAAAACAATCCTTCTACAAACCCTATAAAATATCTCTCAATATATATATACATGAAATACATATTTATCTTGATATTAATGATCAACTCTTAATTAATTATAAAATTATACCGCCATATCAATTTCCAGCATACTATAACTCTTTTATTAAGTCAATAACCCCTTCCGATTCTACCTCTACTTCATCTTCCTTTAATACTTCTTATAATAACTCTCAAACACAACCAAATACTTCTTCTTTTAACAACAATGCTATATCAACTTCTCAAACTATCAAAATTTGTACACTCAATACTAATGGCCTCTCAACTAACTCTAAACAATTACTTATATATAACTATATTATAGAAAATAACATTGATATTTTTGGTCTATCAGAAAC